CTAGAGACATGCCTACACGATCCCCAACACACACTTGTTTCACCAAGCCTCTGTCGTCAATTCCTCATTTAATATCAGTGGCAATAAATCACCACAGTAATTCTTCCTCATGTGATTTGGGGGGATCTGATTATGCCTTATTGCAGAGTCATTTTAGCTGAGCTCAATTATTAATCATCATCAGCCTATTGTTTTTCAATTTTTTTGTCCTCCTACTGCCCATTCTCTGTTAATTGAAATCATTCAAACCTGGGGAGTGACAGCGTGGTTTGTATGCATGATGGAATTTATGGCAAGCTATAATAAGGCACTTTGTACATCCTTAAATGTGGAATCAGTTTACCTGAACTTTTTAGCAAGGCTCTAGCAATGGTAATGTCAGTCAGTCCACCGCTTTGCTCCAGACTGAGATATCTCAACAACTGTAAGGCCACACTTCTATGTTTTCATTTTCAAACGTATCTCTTTTCCTATGCTTTCAACTCCCATTCACACTAATCCGTTTTCTAGCCCCGAAAACGGCGAGTTTTGGAAACCCTGCTGGTCCCGTTTTAGTTTGATAACTAAGGTCAGCTGGACCACCTAAGTCAGTAGACATAAGTGGTCCTCTGACTTGTGGTCAAAAGTGGATGGATCACCATGAAGTGTTATACAGATATCTGTGGTGCCCATAGGATGAATCCTTATAACTTCAGTGATCTTGCACCACTAGCACGTTAAGGTTTGCATTTAGCCAGTGAAATAACTCAGCATCTACTAGATAGTTTGGCACCAACTTTTGTACTGCCATCTTTAATGTTCCAGTTCACTCACTGAGGGAGGGGCCCCCTGCCACAGGCTGCACTGCATACATTTGTAATTGTTACCAGTTTTGAATCAAACAAACATGATGATCCTTTGCTTATTGTCCTATACAAGACTGTCGGTAGCAAGTATTACATTAGCAACAACAAGCACCAATTTATTGTAGATACATAGGGTTGCCAGGTCAATTTAGCAAACAATGCATGAGTTTGGGGGCCCCCTGGTGGTTGTGGGGCCCTAAGCAGCTGCTTAGTTGGCTTACAGGGAGGGCCAGCTCTGCAGGAACACGATAGCAAAGGTCAGCGTGGTCTTTCCCCTGCTGTGTGGCTGCAGTAGAAATGCGTGTGATCACAGATCATAGCACATGGCTAAAGCAGTCTATACTGGGCCTGTGGAAAAAATGCGATATTGAAAATCAGACTGTGAATGTCAGTCCCTGTAATGCATGCTGACAGCTGGAGACAGGACTCTGTGCATTCTAAATGTTAGATTAGCATCTTGAACACAGTCCAGTCGTTGATTGTTCTCTCTCTTTTCATCAGTGGGGTCAGACCTCGGGTTTTACCACTTGAGTTGACAGTTGAGCCGAGACATCCGGCATCATCTGATTCAGGGGCACTTACAATCACATACTATCTTAAACTGAGGCTGACCCCGAGACCTGCAGGTCACAGAAGATCACCACTCGAACCACACAGCCTGGCTGCTGTCTACTCAATTCATAGCTCATGTATTTCTTTATGGCTGTATTGTTTAGTTTGGATTGATTAGGTTCGAGACCTAAAATTATAGGCTGCTGTAAGGTAATAAAGCTTTGCATCGCAGCAATGCTGCATTGTTACTTAAAGCCTGAGCTGAAGTTCAAGACTCAGACTTTGTGGGGTTTTTTCAGTTTGGCTCCTCGTGATGCCTCTCTGCAGCTCCCTTGGCCCTCAGCTCTCTTCTCCGCTCCTCCTGCTCTCCACTCTGCTACCCACTGCTCCTTTTTTCTCCTTCCAACTCTTTTGGCCCAGAGCTTCTGTTTTTTTTTTTTTTGTTGTTTTTTTTCCTTCTTCCTTCCACTATGGCCAACTTTGACTTCTGCATTCTTTCACTACATGTGGGCTAGATTTCTTCCATCCATATGCTGCTTATCCTCTGTTGAAACTACTTATCCCTCAGTGCCCTGTCTGAACTGTGTGTGTGTGTGTGTGTGCATGCGCGTGTGTGGGAAAATGTTTTAAATGGCTGTTTGAGGGTGAAGACTTGGTTTTAGGGTATTCAGTTGTGATGGTTAAGGTTAGGGTAAGGGGCTAGGGAATGCATCATGTCACTGGGTGGTTCCTACGAATATAGTAAGACGTGTGTGTGTGTGTGTGTGTGTGTGTGTGTGTGTGTGTGTGTGTGTGTGTGTGTGTGTGTGTGTGTGTGTGTGTGTGTGTGTGTGTGTGGGTGTGGAAATGCAGCTACTGTACATCACTGCTAGCTGTTCTCATTTCCCTGTATCCCGGTCTCACGCAGACACCTAGAAACACACACTTGCACACCTGTCTTCTCATGCCCTGTGGCAGGGCAGCAGTGTACTGTAGCGTACTGTAGGATATGTGTGTTTGAGTGACTGCAGCTGCTTTTGGCCATCCAGGCTGCCTCCTCGTTTTCAGCTTCATTTCCCCCCGTAATGAAGATTCAGAGGCAGCGCAGCGACTGGCACAGGGCAGAGGAGGAGAAGAGAGCAGAGGAGAGAAGAGGAGAGGAGAGGGGGGGAGCACAATAGAGGAGGAAGCAATGACAGCAGGAAGAGAGGAGAGGCAGACATGAGAGTCAGGGGGAGGGGATGGAGGAGATGGAGGGAGAGGAAAGAGAAGAGGAAGCATCATGATGGAGGGAGAAGAAAGTATGAGAGAATCCCGAGGAGGAGAAAGGAGAAAGAAGGGAAGGAGAGCGGATGACTGGGGAACTCATCCTCTCTCCTTGAGGACAGCTACAACAGAGGAAGAGACAAAAGTGTGATGAGTTTTGTGATAAAGATGACTAGAAAAAAAAGTAGCTCCCTCTCTCTCTCTTTCTCTTTCCCTCTCCCTCTCTCTCCTAATTACCTCCCTGGCTGTGATGAATGGCACAGCTCTTCAGACCCAATTGGCGAGCCGACCTTGTCATGTGTGTTGATGGGGTGGGGTGACTCTACACCCCCCTCCCACCTCTGCCCCCCTCTTACCTATTGTACCACCTCCTGTGGAAGCAGATGCTGCTAATATCTGTGTGTGTGTGTGTGTGTGTGTGTGTGTGTGTGTGTGTGTGTGTGTGTGTGTGTGTGTGTGTGTGTGTGTGTGTGTGTGTGTGTGTGTAAACACTTTGAATTGTGCACTTAGACACGCACCTGCCTCACTTCATATTTTCTTATAATAATAATAAGATGATAGCACATCCTGTTATTTTGCATATAAACTTAAAAAGGTGCTTGACTTTGATTTTTACGTTTTGTTTCAGAAGTCTCAAACATCCTGAAAAATCTCACTGTTTATTCAAATACCTTCTCCTTAGTTGTTTTCCACTATTAGCAATCTGGTTTGATATATTTGATTAAAATCAACATTAAACATTTTGAAAAGATATTACATATAATGAGATTTAACTTGGGTCTTATTTTTATTGAATTGGCCTCCATCCCATCTGTAATAAAGAGATCAATGAGCATTGCAAAGAAAGCTTCTGACTGACGGCGGTTTGATCGCTGGCATCAGTGTATGGGTGTGATGTATAAATGTGTGAGTGACTGGGTTAGTGTAGCAAGTATTGTGAAGTGCTTTTGGTGGTCACTAAGACCAGAAAAATGCTATATAAATGCAGTCCATTTACCGTAAGCAAAGCCTGCCATTGATATAATCATTTAAGTTATTTATCAATTATCAAACAACAACTTCAGAAATGTGAAGATTTTTCTGCTCTTCTCTGTTTCATATCATCGTAGAGTCCGTTGGTTGGTTGGACACCTTGGACTCTGGGAAATTGTAAAATACCTTTTTTTTTTTTTTTTTTTTTTTACTATTTTCTGGCATTTCATAGACTCAACAGTTAATCAATAGACTGACAGATTAGAATTAAAATGATAGTTTGTTTTAGCACTACATGAGCAGTCAGATGATTAGAAAGATTGCAAGCAAACCCCATGTTAGCCAAACTTATTTGGAAGAGAAATGAAAATGAACAGTAAAGTTATAATCCCAGTTGAGAATTGTAAACCACCTACAGCCTCCTACACTCTGCAGGTACAGGATTATTTCAGGTGTGCTCATCTTTTGGTGTTTACTTCAAAATAAAGTGGTTTAGATCATTTGGCTAGTCTGTTGCAATTTTTACAGCCTGTCTGATTGTCAAGTGGTAACACGAGATCAACTCAAGATCCGCTTACTCGACTCTTCCGGGGCTTTCGACCATATCTGTCTCCGTCAGCAGATGAAGTTGTCATGCTCAGTCGTCAAAGGACTTTTCATATTTCTGAGCACTTGTCTATGTTTGCTAAAAAGATGATGTTGATTTTTGTATCTACTATCTTTATCTGCATTGCATTATGGGATTTTTAGTAGAAAGTAGTATACATGTCATGGACACTACTTTTGAGGGAATTTTTGAGGTCACTATATAGTGCATAGATTTTAGCCTCAGAATTCAGACACTCAGATAAAATGGTGATTAATAAATCAGCCTCAGTGGTGCTCAGAATTATGTCATGTTTGAACCTCTGCAACTGACCAAACTAAATCTGCTGATGTTCCTGTTTCCCAGGTCAAGAATGAGCCGTGCAGCTCAGGTTGTTTTCAGACTGATTTTTGCCTCGCTGTACCTTGTTTTTGTGATGTTGCAACATTTCTAGAACTCAGCAAATACTTTGGTGAATACAGTGTTTTCATAACTGACAGAAATTGTAGTCATCATGAAAATAAGACCCAAGTTGTAATAAGCTGAAATTCCTCCGTCCCTGCGTGAGCACAATGGGAAAAAAAATTCTGTGTGAAACGCAGCAAGTAGTTTGATAAGTACCTTTGAATATTCAGAAAAAGGTGCTTGATACCAAGTGTTTACCTTGTTAGTGATGTGTCCCGCAAAGTGTGTTTGTAATGGTGACAGCTGAGAAAAATTGATAAATTTTATTTCCCCATGTTTCCATCAGTCAGTCGTGGTTCGTGTTTCATTTACGTTGTGTCACTTCTCCCCTGCAGACCAGTAAGAACTGGCGGGCTGCGGTAGATCTGACGGGCCGGCTGCTGACAGCTCATGGTCAAGGATACGGAAAGGCTGGCCAGCCAACCTCCCACACCACCGACTCACTGCAGGTAAGACGCCAGTGACTTTCTCCTCAACTGTCTCTTCTTCTGTTTCTCCACCAGTCTGCCTCGCACTGTGGTTCTGTTGGTGGTAGAAAAAGCTGAACCAAAGACAGGCCCTGTACTACACAATAATGTAATAATTCCCTTAATGAAATAATAAAAATTAAATAAATTTAGCAGTTAGCTTTGTTGAAAATAGACCAAATGATGTACCTGTACTTGAAGAATAATGTAATGAAATACCGTCATTTAATTTAGTATTTTATACCCAATTATTTTTTATTAGGAGTTTATAACATTTTATGGTTCATTTTTGTTTCCACACTGGCAATGTAATTATTTTTGAATGATATTATGTTGGATTTCACTTCAAGGGGCAGATGTGGAAGCTCAAGTTCAGTCTTCAGTCAGTCTTCATCACAGTGCAATATAGGACCGACAATAAGTGCAACAAAATGACAGTTTCAAACACCACTCAATCTTTGGAGAAAGAGTGAGTACTCCTACATTAGCAGTAACTCACTCACAGTTGTAAATAAGGTGCATAAGATCTTTATGTAAACATAAGGGCCGCACAATTAAACAAAGTGCAATGTCCAAATTGCAGGAGTTGCAATTTTTTGATATAGTTACAACATTGTTATGCATTGTAAGCACCATAAGCATTGGGGTGCTACAGAGACACCCCTACAAATCATATCCTCCAGACGTAAGGAAACATGTTTGTTTGGTACAAGACACAACAAAAATCACATCATTTTTCTTTTTTAATTCAGTGAATATGAAAAACAAAAACAATCATTCCAACTCAAATTGTGACTCAAATTGCAATATCTGACAAAATAATCCCTATGAGATGAATAATCCTTATGATTTTCCTTTTTTTTTCATATTGTGCAGCCCTAGTAAACATTACTGTAAACAAATGACAAAGAACTGTTTGCAAATTCCATAGAGTGCAGTCATCCACATATAGTGGATACAAGCCTCTGTTATTGTCTGTAGAGGGGGGTTGAGTTGGCCTGACTCTTACGGTTTCATAGGAAGGAATAGCGGATGTTGGCTTGGGTGTGTAAGTAGTTGAGGGTCCTCACAGCTTGAGGGAAGAAGCCGTTGGTAGAGGCGGTCCCGATGCTCCTGTGTCTCGAGGTGTGAAGAGGCTGCGGCTGGGATGGGTGGGGTCCTCCACACTGCTTGGGGGGGCACCATGCTTTATTGGAGTGTTGTATGGAAGGAAGAGAAGTGCTGATGATCATTTCAGCCATTCAGACCACATCACATGTGGTGTTGTTGGTTTGCTTCTTTGGTCTTTAAGGTCTAGTCAGCTAAACCTCTGGTTAAAAAAGCCTACATTGCTAGACCACTTTTCAATTGAGCTGGCTACATATCTGCTGAGTGCCTGTATACGCTTATTTAATCATTATATAAAATGGAAATCCTGAACAGAAACTAGGGTTTTATTTACAGTTGCATCACAACGTGTTTTTTTTTTTTGTACATTACAATGTAAGTGTCTGTAAATACTTGGAAATGAAAACATGTTACAAATGCAAAATTATTTCCATTTTGTGCATATTGTTTTCGGGTTGTCCTTCCATCTGTCCATCCCATTCTCATGGACACAATATCTCCATACACAATATTTCAGTAATGCCTTGAGGGAACTTTGAATTAAGCACATTTTACTGGGACTCAAGTATGAACTGTTTAGATTTTAGTGGACAAAGGTCAAAAGTCACTGTGATCTCATAAAACACAGTTTTTGCCTTTCGAATGTGGTATCTCAAGACCACATTGAGGGAATTTGTTCAGACGTGGCACACACATTCACTTGGACTCAAAGATGAACTGATTGTGAAGGGGAGATTGTGACCGTATTTCTGGCAACTTGGCTGCTTGGTGGAGGCATACAACCACGAGGCGGTAATTCTAGTTAAATGAATGCAACACTCTTACGGTCATCACTTTGTATAAACACAAAGATAAATGTGAAGTGGTGTGAGAGTGTGAATTTAACATTACTCTACTGTGATATATTTTCCCAAGCAGGCAGGTCTGACACTGTCTGCAGTCACATGCAGAAGCTGGTCATCTTGGGAAGTGATGGTCTTCATCACCTGCACATTGTTCAACCTGTGAGGATGCACATAGAAGTTGTTCATTGCATCTTGAAGGGAGACATCACTGACCCGAATCTGTAGTGGGGCTTTATAGTCCGTGATGGTCCGGAGGCCCTTCCACAAGTGCCGCGTTTCCTTGCTGTCAGTGAAGTGTCTGGTGATTCTGTGTCTATAATTCTGCTTCTCTGCTGCCACGTCTGCTTTCTCCCCACATCTGATTGCAGTATCTCAGACTGAGCCGCCGTTGTCAGCCGTGGCTTCTGGTTTGCCCTTGAGTTGATGGTTTTAGTGACTGTGACATCATCAGTACACTTACTGATGTAGGCTGTCACTGTCTCTGTGTATTCCTCTAGATCGATACATTCCCCACAGGAAGCTGCCTCTTTGAACATGCTCCAATCAGTGGCTCTCGCTGCCGTCCTGCAGAGCTGAGACGGCTCCCTCTGGCCAGACCTTAATCTGTTTCTGGATTGGTCTGCATAGCTTCATGCGTGCATGACAGAGATGTGGTCTGAATGGCAAAGATGAGGGTGGGGGAATGTTTTAAAGGCATTATCTGTGTTTGAATAAATAAGGTACAGTATATTCATTAATCTGTTAACTCCCATAATACATCTGCACAGTTTGTTCATACAGGATCACTAAGAAAGGACAGTCCGAGATATTTTGCCTTGTTGGTTTTTTCTTTGGTCTTTAAGATCAGGTCAGCATAGGCAAAACAAGATGTGGCCTCTGACAGTCTATGAGATTCCCATGACCAAAGTCTAGAAGCTGGAGAAAACAATCAGCTCCCACATAAAGAAGTGGCTTTTACTTCCATGTTGCCTCAGCAGTATCGGCTGCTATGGGAAGCATATATGGGAACTGCCTGTCTGTATCCTCACAGAGGAATAGAAGTGCACCAAAGTGAGGCTGAACATGACAAAGGGACACCAGCCCAGCGGCTATGGCTGGTAGTTGCTGAGGTCCACCAGCAAGAGGAGGCGATGTGAAGTCCAAGGGAAGTCTCACAGGCCAAACAGGGGACAACACAGGAACACCTGAAGCACCACAAACTCACCTGGAAAAATCTATGGGAGATGGAAGGAGGCAGAATTAGCTTCATCATCAGAGCCTCCCACGATGTGCTTCCCTCTCCCAAGAAATTAAAACTAGTAGAGTGAAGAAGATCCTTCATGTCTGCTCTGCAAAGAACCAGCAACTCTATGGCACGTCCTTACCAAAACCTTTTACCAAAGTCTTTTTCAAGACCGCTATACCCGGAGACAGTCAGATTCTCCGGCAACTGGCAAGTATCCTGGCGCAAAGGAGAACTGTTGCCAACGTCCCGTCACCCTTAACAACAGGCATCTCTAACACTGCTGCCTTAATGGCATGTACACTACTTTACATTAACAGTCAGAAGATGTAATGCAACTGATTGGTCAGTAGTTTGATCTTATCCTTTTTTCTTTTCTTTTTTTTTTATTTGTGACTTTGCACAACAAAAACAAGTGTGACAGGAAGGGTACATATAATGGACAGACATGTAAATGACAACAAAAACGATAAACACTTATTGAGATTTCAAAATTAAAAGAATATGATGTGTATGGTATGTGTGCGTGCATGTGTGTGTTCACGGTTTGTACGTGACGTAGTTGTATGTATCTGTGATATGTATCTGTTTTTTTGTGAGAGGGTGAAAGGGAAAGTATAATGGACATTAATGATGTAATATAAATATAATTGTAGTGAGAATAATAAAATAAAAAACAATTTAATAATATAATTTATATGATATAAAAAAAATGAATAATGAAAATTTATCTCATGACAAAAAATATGCTAATATGATCTGATCCTTCTGATGTTAACCTCCTCCAGACCAGGTTAGGAGTTGAGCATAAGTTACCATGGTGATGGTGAACCACCATTGTAATCCTGAAAACCCAGGGTTAAACCTGAAGCTATATTTATGTATTGTTTTTGTAGTCAACATATATGATTAATGTTTTCTACATTGTACAAACAGAGGCAGATGTGTTTGTGTGTGTTCCAGCTCTGGTTTGTGCGACTGGCTCTTCTCACCAAGCTGAACCTCTTCCAAAACGCTGAGCTGGAGTTTGAACCCTTTGGCAATCTGGATCATCCAGACCTCTACTATGAGTACTACCCCACTGTTTACCCTGGGAGGAGAGGTATACAAAACACACACACACACACACACACACATACACACACACACACACACACACACTCTGCTTGTATAAAACCATACCATTCTGTCCTTTTGGCTCATTATTATTGACCTTTATGTGGGAGGAGCACTTTTGGTATTGATCACAGAATCTTTGATATAGAAAGTCGTGCGCTGTAAATCCTGCATTGTTTCACATCTCTTTTCATATTGCACTTGTCGAAAAGCTGCTCTATAAATTCCCATGGAGCCCCAACTGAAGGTTGAATAGTACTATTCATAATAGTGCTGAAAAGCTGCTCCGAAACTCTTATCTGTGAATTTTGAATGTGTTATTAGCCTGCTCTCCAAAAGGATTTTGCATTTTACCCACATTTTTTAGGATACACAAGCATACCACCACTGTCCTATTAAATATTCAAAGGAAAGTTTCTGCCAGGAGCTTGATATAAGACTGTATCGTCAAGAAGCTCCAACAACTCCACTTGTCTCCAGCAGTTCTTTGGTTTTGTTTTTCCTCTTTTTACACTGCATGAATTGCTCTCTAATGTATTCCCATTACTTTGGATCTGCTTCGCCCCTTGGGCTACTACAGTGAAGGCAGTAGCAGAGACAGAGCTGCATACACACATGCACGCACACACTTGTACAAAAAAACAAAAAAAACAAAACACACTTTAAGCTACACTGCACAGCCCTCTAAAGAGAGCTCCAATTGACTTTCCATTGCTCAATTTTAAATGCTTTGTACCCTGCTAGGTGCTCGCAGACAAACTGGCATGAGTTGTGTAGCCTGGCATCAGAAGTCGAACATTTCTCTCGGCCCAACATTTCTCCGGCCCAACACTTGACCGCCTTCAGAGACAGCTGCCCATGTATCACTCTCTCAAGAATTAAGATCGACTGAGCGCTCGAGAAAGAATCTTTGTTTGAGGGTTATTAATTTATCTGCCAAATGAAAAGTTGAGTCCAATTAGGACACAGAAATATTAAGTAGTGTTCATTCATGCTCAAGGAGCATTCATTCATGTCCTTTTCTAAAACTACTGTATATATTAATGCTTTACTTTTAGTTTAGAGATATCAATAAATTAAGAGAGAGATGCATCAGTTTTCTCACAGGTTAAATAAAACATACTCAAAGCTTCCTTCTTTTAGAAGGGCTTTTTTTTTTTTGGTTGAAAGAATATTGGCCTCTGCTTCAAAAATCAGAGTCAAAAGTTGGACATGCAGACAAGACAGAGGGAATTCATTACTATGCCGAGGCACACAGGTAGTGCTGAAAATCCTGAGAGTATTTAAATGTCTCAGATTGAATCTAAAGGTCTTATAAACCATATTAAAGGTACCCTGTGCAGTTTTCTTGTAAACAAACCCAGTTCTGTTTACATTCAGTGTCTCTCACCCAAAATTACTTTTTCTGAATCTTTCATGTCTTAACAAATGTGCAGAAAGCATTTCCGTTTCTGTGAATCATTTGCAGAGACTATTTTTATTGGTTCACCTACATTTACACCTTTGCAAGCTAGCCGTCCTCTTCCTCCTCCACCTTTTGTTGGCACATTACAACGTTTTAGGCACCCGTCTGCCACCAACTGTTATTGAATGGAATAGCTCGAGTGCCTGGTTAGACCAGGAGGTGACACAGCAAATTTTTCTGCACATCTTCACATCTCTGTATCTCGCATCTCTTGCATCTCTTCTGTAAAGTTAGTTGGACTGGAAGCTTGATGATGTTCAAATTCCCCGAGCAGAACGCCTCAAAAAATATGTGACTGGCCACCAACCGAACTCGACAAAAACAATTTTCTAAGATTGTATTATTTCTTTTTTATTTATTTTCATTTTGTTAGTAGTTAAGTTTCAAAACCTTGACTACACTGTCCGGTAGGGAGAAAACTTAATACCTTCAATTTGGACTTTTTATACTTTTTTCCTATTTTTCTTCTTTATTTTCCCAGAATAACCCACCACAGATTTATTACCTAGAGACTCTCAGTAGCTATGGCCCTGATCATGACTTTGCTGGGATAGTAAACAAACTACAGGCTAACTGGCAACATGCTAGCTGCTTGGAACATGCTCTCACTGGCCAGGCACAATAGCCCGCTAGCTTGATACCAGTTAACTTGCTAACTTGTCAACAGTAAGTTAACACAATTTATTCAAGAAACATATTTGTTCCATCAACTCTTGTATCAGAACTGCCTTCAAAGTTTTCCAGAGCAGTTTATACTCCAGCAGAAGAGGATTATTTAAAACTGGGTAGAGCTGCACAGCTGATATGACAGCTTCCTCTATTTAGGTCACACCAGACTTCTTCCTCAAACTCTGAAGTTTTGATGGTGTGCTGTTGGTCAGTGACACAAATTAGCGTGTCAAAGTTCACCAAAGTTAGAAAATCCGCTGATAATGGGCAGTGCCGTTCAAATGAACTTTTACTTTAACATTTCACAAGAAAAAAAAAAAATGCTGTTCTGACCAAGTCGTGAAAGTGCAGGTGGGTCTAATAACACATGTGCAAAAAGAGCACAAGATATAAACAGAGTGGCCACCCACTCATCACAACAATGCTTTATAGCTCCACTCCTTGTCAAAAACTCCACAGGGTACCTTTTAAATGTATTTTTTTAATGTCTGTGCGAGGCTGTGGTTTTCACGGGTTGTTTTCCTTCTCAGTTATAACATTTAATTCTAACAGATACTTTAAAGGTATAAAATGTCTTAATGTTAACCTAATGAAACTTGCTGATACCCAGGAGAGACTGAATAAAGAGATTGGGGGGGGGGGGGGGGGGGTTAAGACCGATAGACAAGAGAGATAGAAATAGAGATACATAGACTGGCAGAAGCAGCAGCCACAGATGGACTAGCTAGCTGAGTTTCAGATCTGATGACAGTATCAAAGAGACCCTGATCAAAGCCTGGGGACTCACCTGAATATAGGCTCTTCCTCAGGGATATGTGTGCCTGTGTGTGCCTATGTGTGTGTGTGTTGTGTGAGAGAGAGACAGTGTGAATGATGTAGAGGCAGAGAGAGATAGAGGGATGAGGCAGAGAGATGAGTGATGGAGCTGTGCAGCACACCCAGAGAGAGAGATGAGAGGGTTTAATAAGCAACCATACGTAGCTCAATGCCATCTGTAGGTTCCTGCCTCCGGGGCTGTGTGCAGTCTGTGTGTGGGTGGATGGGTTTATATTCTCATCCCGTGCTCTGTGTCTTTCTGTCTCTCTCCCTCTCTCTCTGCCTTCCCTCTCTTTTTTTTTCTCTCTCTCACTCTCTCTTCCTCCTGCTATGTCCTCATCCCACCCTGTTTCTTATTTTCCCCTTTCCCTCACTTATTTTTTCCTTCCATCTCCTGTTTTCTTCTTGTCCTCCCTCCCTCCCTCCCTCCCTTCTTCCTTCCCTCCCTGCTGTCCAGGCTCCATGGTGCCGTTCTCCATGCGGCTGCTGCATGCCGAGCTTCCCCAGTACCTGGCCAAGCCCCAGGAAGCTGTGGACCGCCTGCACAATCTCAAAACCGTCTGCCTCACTGTTAGTACGCGCACACACATACACGAACACAGCCTCTGGATGAACATAAAGATATGCATACTCTGTAGCATTCACACAATAAAACCACACACCCACAGAAAAAGCACATTAGCCATACTAATCTTCAAGCCCACCTGTATAAACAGCCAAATGGTTGGATTTTAGAGTTATTGAATATGCAGATTCTAATACACACACATAAAAAAAGCCTTCAGCGATGGCGGTGGAGCAACTTCCCCCTCTGAAGTTTGAACCCTCCCCCCTTCTGGTTAACAGATTCTGGAGAACTTGGAGAAAGGCTTGGCTGAGGATGGCAGCATGATCACCCTAACACGGGAGAACAGGCAAGGTAAGAAGCACACACACACACACATACACACACATACACAGACATTTAGCTACAGACCTGGCCCCAATCCCAGATTGCAACACACTGTAGGAAGAGAGTGAGGTCATGGGCCCTAGTGGGTAACACACACACACACACACACACACACACAAGCAAGCACTGAGGCAGAGGTACACCTGGTGCAGGACTGCAGCATACCTTGGCCACACATACACACATTCTCAACCACACAAAGACACCAATGCGGTGCTCTGAAAGTGTTTAGCACCTCACTGCTTCGGTACTCGCGCTGAATATCAAACGGTCTCTCAAGCCCTTCACACCAAGCAGATCAATACAGATCGATTCTATCCAATCCACTCACATCTGCACAAGTGTGCTGGGGAAATAGGCACCTTCATCTAAAATTCACCAGGTCTAGGTAGACGCACCTCAACATAAGCTGATGTAAATAGACTTCATCTATTCTTCATTCTATTCATCTCTTCTCTTCTCTTCTCTTCTCTTCTCTTCTCTTCTCTTCTCTTCTCTTCTCTTCTCTTCTCTTAGCAGTACATCTTAATGCAGGTTTCTCAGTCCTCATGTTTGTGAGTCCTTTAACCACTAATTTAGCAACTTTTCCAAAGGTGTGTCTTTTTTTTTTTTTTTAAGCGACTAGTAGCTGTTTAAGCAGTTAATTCACAGCAATGAACAACAACAAGCCACTCGGTGAAGTTGAGCTAAATGTAAGATGCTTGCTTATAATTTGGAAAATTTGCAGGGTGACGCGTGTACAAGTGTGTGTGCATGTGTGTGTGCGTGTGTGTGTGTGAGTGAGGGTGTGCCGGCTCTGCCCGTTTCTCTTTCTAAAAGCAGAGTAATAGCTGTGCCCTCTGTCTCTCCTCTCCCTGCCCACGCAGACAGTCGACAGTCAAGTCAATAGCGCAGGGCCTTGCCTTCACACATCAGACCCCTACTGAGTGATTAGCTCTCCTCCCCAACACACACACACACGCACACGCACACACACACGAGTGCAGTGATGAATACTAATAGGACTGCACACAAGCTCTTCCACACGGTGCACTGTCTAAGGAAAAGAGGAAAGCGGAGTGTGCCGCAGTGTCTTCCTCACCACCTTGCCTTAAAATAAACCCTGGTGTGGGGAGAGGGGAGGTGTAATGAAAGGGATGGGTGGAGGAGAGGGGGGGGGGCATAGGGTGATGTTACAGGGGACACCCGAAAAAGTGAAAATAGGAAGTCACCCTCAGAGAAATAAACCACCTGTCTCTGTCTGTCTTCTTCTTCTCTCCCTATTTTTTAGCATCTCTTAAACTGTGGCAGTCTCGCCTCAGCCGGGTCATGTACTCCATGGCCAACTGTCTGCTGCTGATGAAGGTAGGTGTGTGTGTGTGTGTGTGTGTGTGTGTGTGTGTGTGTGTGTGTGTGTGTGTGTGTGTGTGTGTGCGCTCACGTTTGTGTGTGCCACAGTGAATGTGTCCCTGTATGCGTGTCTGAGTCTGTCTGGATGTGCGTGTGTCTTTTGTGAGGGAGTGTTTCTGCGTGTGTGTGTGAGAGAGAGAGAGAGAGAGAGAGTCTCAGAGATCTTTGATGCCAGGCTGGTGGAGGATTCACAGTGAAATCCCCCTAGACTGACCACTAATTGGATTCGTGGTCAGTGAGAGAGAGAACAAGACAGAGAGGGAGAGAGAGAGAGGGAGGGAGGGAGGGAGGATGGAGTGTGGATAAGGAGCAGACTCTACAGAGAACCACAGTGCCATCTACTGGTCAGTTACAATATTTTTCAATTACTTTGCCTCAATTTCAGTTTCAAGATTCAGAACTCTCACTTTTTAAGGACCACGACAGGGACTGTTGTTGCACATTTTCTACAAATCAAAATACTTGATATAACTGTTGACAGTTTAACAAACCATGTTTGAATGTAAACATATATGTGTAGGAGCCATTTACTAGTTTGTTTGTTGGGTTTTCTATCATTTATTCATCTGTTTTGAGTTTAATCACTTTAGTTAATTAGTTTTACTTTTTTGATAATATTCTCTTTTGTCATTAGTCTCTTTAGATTATTTGCTTATGTAACATAGTTAGTTAGGGTTGACTAATATTTTGTTTATTTTGTATAATGCTATGGGCACATGAGGTTATTTAGGTAGGTGGACTGGATTAGGACCAGCATGCACCTGGGTGGGCCTATGGTTTTTTTTTACCAGAGCAGGAGAGGCAGCAGGAAACATGATCATTTGTTAATTGGTTTGCTGCTTGTTTGGATAAATAAATCAAAAGGAAAAAAGAATTGGCTTTGTTTGGACGATGTATTTTTTTTGCCTGCATAAACCAAATCCCCCATGATGCATCAGTGGCCATTTGATTTTGATGTTGGACTTTAATTTGTTTGAATGACAAATAGCCACTACAATATGTTTGATACATTTCAGGCAGCCATTGTTTTTTTTTTCTTCTTCTTTTGCAGTATTCAGAACAAAATGTATTATTCAGATATTTTGGAAGGATCAGAGTCTTCCCACATTAAAGAAAGATAATGAATACATAGGTACTTTACGAGAATAAATTGCTTGATATTTTAAGGTATTTATGGTTGAACCCCTGTAATCACGTGTTAATGAAGAAAACAGTGTCAAAATAAATTACCTCTTTTTTTTCCTTTCAGTAGGTGATTACAAAACAAGTTAAGACAAGTGTAGGCAGCCATTGTTTCTATTCATAACTGTGTGGTATGAAAATAAAAAAAAACTTGCTTGGGGGTTGTAGTGTGAGGAAACACTCTGTAGACTTAAACAGTGTTAAGAAATCACTATACTAGGTAGACATGGTGTTCTTCTCTAATCCAAAATTCCACAGTATGCATTGGAAAATGTTCAACAACAATACAGACTGTACACGAGGTGTAGTTAAAGGATAGCACTAGTTTTATTCAGTATTTTCTTATTGCCTGTAAATTACATGAACATTTGGTTCTTACTGAACATGGAAATGTTAAAAACAGGAGTTTAAACAATTTGCTCAAACAGCTGGACACCAGTTTTTAACAAGCGTTACTCAAGCAGGAGGAGCTGTGGATTCATTCATTTGGTTCTCTAGTGAATATTTACAGCAGCAAGATGGTGTGTGCAGGACTGAGTCTAAATAAATTAGCATGTGTTCGCTCATGATAGTGAAGCAACATGTCACCCAGTGTGGCTCACTGATGTGTTTTTAATCATTATTGAACAACAATGGAGCTCTGTGGCACAGAGGAGTAATAATACAATATCTGGGTGTAGGATACACTCACTCACTTTATTTACTATGAAAAGATATATCCAAAATAATGATAATAAATAATAATAAAATATTGCACTATAATACACACATACATGCGCACATTGCCCCATCCCAGTACACACACACACACACACACACACACACACACACACACCACCTCCTGACCTCTCTCTGTCACCGGGCTCAGCAGTCCAGTCACCATGTGAGCAATGTGTAGCAGTGCGGTGTGGAGGTGGGAGAAGGGTCACATCACCCCGCTAATACTCCATATGTTTGATTAATGCCCTCTCTCTCTCTCTCTGTCTCTCTCTGTCTCTCTCTCTCTCTCTCTCTCTCTCTCTCTCTCTCTCTCTCTCTCTCTCTCTCTCTCTCTCTCTCTCTCTCTCTCTCCTCAGGACTATGTTCTGGCCGTGGAGACCTATCACTCCATCATTCAGTATGAACCTCAGCAGAGAGTGCAGCTGCTCAGTGGTATAGGACGCATCTTCTTGCAGGTTTGCATATTCTCCCCCACACACACACACACACACACACACACACACACACACACACACACACACACACACACACACACACCATGTACAGATAATAAGACACCAGTTCCTTGGATACAGACACAGCAGAGTCGAGTTTACCATAAAGACTAGAAGCAGCTAATTTAAAAATACACCTTTGTTTGTTTAAGCTGTACATACTAAGAAATGTAGAAATGAAAATTAGGTTTAGTGTGGGTTATTTACTCCAAACTTGACAAACAGCAGTTGCTGACAATGCCGATCAGAGCAGGTGAAGGAACTGTCTGCAGAGCTCACAGGATTGTGTTGAGCTGGTTCCAGGCAGACAAGCAGGACTCTACCCAGGAACTGACCGCCGGGCAAAACTGAACAGTCAGGGGAGAAGGGCCTTGGTAAGAGAGGTGACTGAGAACCTGATGGTCACTCTGAGCTCCAGAGATCCTGTGTGGAGAGAAACTCCCAGAGGGACAACCATCACTGCATCTGGGCTTTATAATGAGTGACCAGTCAGAAGCCTCTCCTCAGTGAAAGACGCATGAAGACACCTACAGGACTCTCAGACTGTGAGAAATAAGAATTTCTGGTGATGAAGCCAAGATTTAACTAGTTGGCCTCAGTTCTAAGCTTCATGTCTGGAGGAAGCAGGACACTGTTCATCACCTGTCCAACAGGAACAGGGAGACTGGTCAGGGCTGAGGGAAAACTGAATGGAGCAAAGTACAGAGATCTCCTTAATGAAAACCTGGTCCAGAGCTCAGGACCTCAGACTGGGCTGAAGGTTCACCTTCCAAAAGGACAGTGACCTGAAGCACAACGCAGGAGTGGCTTAGAGACAACTGTGAATGTCCCAGACTCCTGACCTGAACCCAAATCTAACATCTCTGGAGAGACCTGAACATGTGTCCTCATCCAGCCTCACAGAGCTTTAGAGGATCTGCAGAGAAGAACAGCTGAAAATCCCCAAATCCAGATGTGCAAACTTGTCACGTCACACCGAGAAGACCGGAGGCTGCGATCACTGCCGAAGGTTCTTCAACTGAGTTCTGAGTAAAGTGTCTGAATTATGTCAGTGTGAAATTTCAGTTTGTCCTTTTTAATACATTTGCAAAAATCTCTATAATTCTGTTTTTGTCATTATGGAGGATTGAGTGTAGATTAATGAGGGGGGCAATTGATTTAAATAATTTTAGCACAAGGCTGCAACAAAACAAAATGTTAAAAAAGAGAAGGGGTCTGAATACTTAGTGAATGCAGTGTATATTTTGTCATCATTCTCTCTTGTAATCGTCCTATATGTCTTGAGTCAGTTCTTTATTCGTTCTTGTCCCATTTTACAATACACACTCACTCTCACATACACACACGGGTGAGTGGTTAATGTGTTACTGCTGTTTTGTTCTTGGCTAGATCGGAGACGTTAAAACAGCAGAGAGGTACTTCCAGGATGTGGAGGAAGCCTGCCAGATGAAAGGGAGCCAGTCCAGTCACACCACATGCATGCTGATGAACAGGTATGTCTGTGGCCCCGTTCAGACGTGGTATTAACGTGCGTCTTCAGTGATCCGATCACAAGTGGTCAGCTCTCAGTGCGTCAGTTCACACCTGGATTTAAAACGTGTCTCCGCATGCGTCTCTACATGTGACCACTTGTGATTGGATCTCACTTCCCCGCTCTGTATGCAGATAAACGTGGATGAGTTGTTGTTTTCAGCCTCTGCTCACCGCTCGAATGAAATGTTCCATATTTTATCCATTTGAAACAGTAAAGTATTTTCAGTTCATAATAAACTGCGTTGGGAATAATCAGCCTGTCAGAGGACGTCAGTAGAGTAGCTGCTCCTTCAATGTGGTCCAGGACACATTCACATTCACACTGCTAAAAGAATGTGGACACGTGGCACAGACCTCCTCTGAATGTGGTCTGAGTGATCGGCTCTCTGGGTTCTCATTGCATCTTGGCTGCGTTCACACCTGAACTTAGAGCTGACCACCTGTGATCAGATCGCCTGAGATGGATGTTAATACCGGGTCTGAACAGGGCCTTAGTCGTGCATTTAGCGCCTCTCTACTGTGCGTGCGTGTCTGTGTGGACTTCATGCTGTTCAGGATCATTTTCACTCCACAGATTCGGTATTTCCTTCAGGGCTTTTTGCAAGTTGTTGCTTCCACCCTGCATGTGGTTTAACACAGGAGGTCACACCTCTGTAGCTCTGGCCTAAGGAGATGTGGAGTATGAGACTGACACTGATGCCATGCTAATGCTAACTTTTCAACGGCAGTCACTTTATGATTCGCTTTTAGGTATTGTTTTTATTTATACTGTTTTAAATTGTTTTAGTTAAAAAGAACTAAAAAAAAATTTAAAAAAAAAAATGAGAACAATATGACGTGTGTGTAATGGGCCAATCACCAGAATATTAAAACCAAAATGTTATGGGAAGGACCAACAGTTTGACAGAGAGGGACTCACAAGCACTAACACACCACGCCTAAACAAGAACAGAGAATCTTGTTGTTTTTGAGGAATCTGAATCCCTAAAGAAACCCAGTAACACAACACCTTGGATGAAATGTGTGTGTGTGTTTGTGTGTCTGTGTGTTTGTGTGTCTGTGTCTGTGTGTCTGTTTTTTTTTTTCCCAGGGCCTTTGTCTACCTCAGTCAGAACAACTACGCTGAAGCACATGCATCCTTCACTGAAGTCTTGAAAATTGACCCAAAAAACCCTGTTGTAAGTACAACCCCATGCACTGCATTGTAATACTGCAGCGGCCGCTGTTGCAGTACAGCCAACAATATGTTTTCACTTTGTCATTATGGATTATTTAGTGTAGATTGGTGGGTAAAAAAATGCATCCATTTAATATTAAATCTACAACATAATAAAATGTGCCAACAGGGAAGAAGCCTGAATACTTTCTGAAGCCTCTATTGCTCGTGTTTATCCGTTTAAAGTCACAGAACGCTGCTTTTTGTTTCCACATTTGAACTGTAAAGTTGATCTTAAAAGGAAAAGTAGGTCGTATCATAACAAGCCTTGAAAAGACAGTTCATCTGAACTTGGATAGGTATGAGTACTCGAGTTGCTGACGCCTCAGTTGGCGTTACGTGCACTATGGCAGCCGTGACCAAGAAAAGTGATGTCTGGAAATACTTTGATTAAAAAAATAAATAAAAGAGGACAATGATGTGCAGTTCAAGATATGTGGCGTTAAACTTGCATATCATGTTCTCTGACAGCCGAACAGGAGGCTTGGTCGGGGAGGTCCGCAGTCGTCACGGACCTCCCGTATTTCGTTTTTTATGGTAAAAATGTATTTATATATATATAATTTGCAGGTAACCGAGTACTCGTTAATAAGGTAATGAGAGTACTCGAATATTGAAATTACTGAAAATGCCTATCCCTAATAGTTATGTGGCAAAGTTTGGGACTACTGTAAAGTGTGGTCAGTGTCATTTGATCGATTAATTTGTGGATTGAATTGGTTTTGTGCCAAATATAATAATAATAATAATAATAACAATAACAATAATAATAGCATATAATATATAATAATTGATAATAATATAATAAAGATAAATTCACATTAAAACTCATCTGCCCCTCCTTCTGTACATTCCCAGGCCAACAACAACGCAGCAGTGTGCCTGCTATACCTGGGCCGTCTGAAGGAGTCCCTGGGCCAGCTGGAGGGTCTGGTGCAGCAGGACCCCGCGCTCTACCTCCACGAGAGCGTCCTTTTCAATTTGACCACCATGTATGAGCTGGAGTCGTCTCGCAGCACCCAAAAGAAGCAGGCTCTGCTGGAGGCCGTGGCCTGTCGGGAGGGGGACAGCTTCAACACGCAGTGCCTGAAACTAGTCTAAGAGGCAGGAGGTTGGACTGAGAGAGGACACACACTACTGCATTCTCCTCCATTATGACAGGAAGTAAACCCCCACCGCACCCACCTTTAAAGCTTGCTAATTCACAATTTCTAAATTAGTTTTAAATGAGTTAGTTTAATCTGTACTAAAGCACACGTGTGAAACGTTGCGGTTTTACAGGGGGGTGTACTGGACTATCTCTTGTCCAGGCCAAGTGATTTCCCAAGCAACAAGCAGAGACTCATTGAAGTCACTTGACCCGGACAAGAAATGGAAGACCGAGGGGCCGCTATGACCTGCAAGGTGACAGTCATACAGGGAGTTACTGTTAACAAGATAATCATCGCTACCTAATCTGCTAGCATGCTGAGGAGACTGTGTGAGCCCTTGTCATAATGTTATCTTTTAGACCATACTGGATGTGGGTCTGATGATGTTTTATGTATTTTATGTCACAATGGATGTATTACAATAGGACTTAACATTTAAAAAACATATTTCACTATTTCCTTATCATTATCTGGTAAGAACTGGTGAGTCATTCGCTGGTTGACACACACATGAAAGAATTCGAGAGCAAATAGTTTGATAATAGCACTGTAACACAGAACGATTTTTTAAAATCTTATTAACCAGAGGTTATGTTGCCATGATTGTTCATGAAGGGTATATATTTTGACAAGAGGTTGTTTTGCTACAAGTCTTAGTCTTTCTTCTCTGATTTCTGACCTCTCACATTTGAAAACTTTGGACTGATTACATTGGAATCAGTGATAAGGTTCTGCTTTGTCAAAACTAAATACAATGGAAAGAATAAAGAAAATATGGGAGGTTCATCAACAAACTTTACCGTATTTCTCCCTGTGCTTCACTAATTGTTCAGGGACAGTTGTATTAAGCGCTTCTTCACTGATTGGCTTTTTATAAGCTACAGAAAACTGGCCCACTGGCACCTTAGGCTGTCTGCAACAGTCCGGTGACCCTACCTTGCAGGTCATGGCATGTGGCAGGCCCTGAACAATGTCCCACCAAGTAATGGTCCAGCACTTGACACGGGCATTATCCTGAGTTTCAGTGTGCTTTAAGACTAATAAATGTCCACAGAGGTCCTTTCAGCGCTCCTTCGTCATCAGACACCTGAAATACTGGATTAACAGTCAAAGACCACTCAGTTTCAGTTTTCTCTAGGTTCATTAACTCATGCAGTGAAAATGAATAAGTCCGTCAGATTGCATTGTATCCTTTCTTCTAAACAAAAAAAATCATGTAAAATATTCAGAATCCAAAATTGTACACAGAATAGGTAGATTTTTGTTTAAATTATTATATAAAAATTATTATCTTGTTAAATCTTTTATTGATTTGTCCTGGTTGATCTTTAATTATCACTGTTTACATGTTGTGTTGATCATGTTTGTGTAAAGGCATCTGGAATAAAAAGAGGCCTAAATAATGGTGGAATAAAACTGTTCTTTTAAATCAACTAGCGTAGTGAATAATGTGTGTGAGTGTGTATATAGGTGTGCGTGTGTGTGCGTGTGTGTGTGTGTGTGTGTGTGTGTGTATATACACACAGTGCCAGTCAAAGGTTTGGAAACACCTACCCATTCATAGGTTTTTCTTTAACTATTTTCTACAATGTAGAATTGAAGACATCACAACTATGAAACTAATAGGACTGAAAGAGTGAGAGGCAAGGAAAACCACCACAACGGGAAAAGTTGTGAAGAAGAAGAAGAATCATTGCTCATGTTCTCATTGGTCGCACCGATGAACAGTCCTATCATAGCCGTCATATCATATTGTAGATGATGATACTTCTGAGTGAGGATGAGAGTAATGCAGCAGAAAATATTTTAACATTTAAAAAGTGGACTAAATGATGTTTAAAAGTGAGTGTTTGTTTATAGGCTGCAGCTTGTCTAAAACTGTTTTAACAGCATTTCATTTACTGTATATGAATTTACAGATTGAAATATAGACAACTGAAAATTCACTTTCAGTTTTAACCTCAATCCTTTTTCTACCGAACATCATCATCCTGTTACTGGGTCAGAATGTGTAGTTACAATCATAGATATATAAACCCCTGTCTGATGTGTTTCATTTATATCTATAAACCTCTGTCTGATCTGTTTCATTTATATTTTCATCATCTGCTGCAGCCGAACTTCCTTCCCATCAGGTTAGAGCTGAATAAATATATTTAACATTTAGTCCAACAAACAGAAGATTCCAGCACTTAACATCCATCCAGGATATTAAAGTCTGCTAAATAATGTGGTCTAGTGGACTACACTGAATAAAATGTAGGCTAATATTTAACTTATTGACTTTATTCTTCAGCTCAGACGCAATACTGCTGCTGTTATTTAATAATCACACATTAATATCTTTCTGGCTCCACTGGATTCAAATGGAGGCGCAGCTCTTTATTTAGGCTACCCGTTGTCATGGTGAATCGTGGAGTCGGAGCTCCATTGATGATGGCTTTTTTTTCTTCCTCATGTACGCGGTTAACTCGGAGTGAACATACTCAGACTTGATTGAACTGACTCAGATCGGCTGTTCTGGAACCGAAAACTCAGAGTTTCCATCTCAGGATTCATCAACTTCAGAGTTCAGAGTTAGGCATTTGTTAAACCTGCTTTCTGGAATAGACCCCTGCACTCCAGTGTTGCTTTCACGTTGCCTATAACGCCTGATCATCTCTGTAAAAATGGGTGGTGCAAAAAAAAGGTGTGCAAACCAGGCAACACTTTAAGACTACTGTTAATAATATCGGCATTCGTAATCTGTATTGGACATGAGGGTAGAGAGGATGATAAGTAAATAGCGATATCTAATTTGATTAATTTATTTTGAAGGTTGCCACCGGAAGTATTAGATGCTCTTTTGTCTAACTTCATATACAGTCTGTGGTCTTAACACTGCTGGAGTTGACTGCAATGAGATATTATTGAGTCATTAGAGAATAATGCCCTCCAGTGGCAATAGTCAGGAACTACTAATCCACAGCATTCTGTGGAAATAATAAACATTTTTATTTATTATTTATTAGTATTATCATTATTGCAGCTTTCAGCATTTGCATTATTACTTTAATGCATCAATATTAATGTTTATGGTATCCGTGTTCATATTAAACCCTAACGTGGAGATAGAAAAATATTTGAAAACGTTTCTCTACATTTTGATCTGTTGGTTTTATTTTGAAAGTTGTCACCCAAAGTATGTACCTTATAGAGACTGTGCATTTACTAACTATTGTGTAGTCGTTAATAGTGTTCATGACTGTACAGAGTTTAAGACTAATGTGGACAGTGTATGTATCCATATACAAAACTATAAACATGGGGGTGAATAAAGTATTGAGAACGCAAACCATTTTAATTAACTTATTATGAACGTTGTCATTGGAAATCTTGGTATGCTATTCTATCTATTTTTCATCCCTGATGTTGTTGAACAAGAAGAACAATAGTAATAGTAAAAGTAATAGTAATTACGTCCCCCAGATATTTGGAACCACGATTATCCTCTTGACAATATGTGCTTCCCTGTACTTGAGGAAACACTTTCCAAACTCCTCGGTAGACCAATCTCACTTCTTGAGATCCAAGAAGCCATTAAAGCAATGCGAAATGTCCCCAGTGCCTGACAGATATACAATCAAATTTTATAAGACATTTTCTCACCTTATATGCCTGTAATTACAAAGTATGTATAATTTTATGGAGAAACAAACCACAGCGCATTAAAAAGCAGCCCACCTTCAGAAGGTTCAATTGGTCCAATCCGGGGAATACTCCTCTTTGGGAACCAATTGAGATGTCCTTCTTACAGCAGTCTCTTAATATTTTGGTATGTTCAGGCTTACTGCTTGTCCCTATCACAAGTTCTATGCGCACTATAACACATACTTAAGGGATTTGGACGCAATTCAGGAGGCACTTTGGACTTAACAGACCATCCTCTTATTCTCTAATTTGTTGTAACCACCTGTTTAGACCATCATGTACTGACCTCATCTTTCACAGCTGGTTCGACAAGGGGATAAGGACTGTTGACAACCTGTACTGCAAAGGACTGCCTCGTCATTTTCCAACTTGTCAGTCTGTCACTTAGTGAGTACGGTGTTGTTATTTTAATGGCATGACCTAGGGGATTGTAAGGGTTATATGTCTTATCTCACCCAAACTTGATGTTCATGTAATGCCTTGTAGCCCAATGGCATGAGCATTTACCTTTAATTTGGACCCAGTATTTCATGGTGACCAGGCCTCAGGTTCTGTCAGCAGCACAACAGACTTACCTGCTATCTAATTCAGCTTCTGCCTGATGGTGTTGGAACTCGATACACATCATTTTTACACGATTTTGTGTTTGATCTGACTATGCCATCTGTTCAACATGTGACATACAGGGATCTTACATATTGTTGCTTGCAGCTACATTATGGTTTGTTTTGTTTTTGAACTGAGCTTCCCCATTACCTATTTGGCATTTGATGATCTCTTAATGCCCATGCTTCTTCTTGTTTATCTCTGCTATAGGAACAAGGAGAGGGAGGGGATTGTTTGTGCACGAGTTAGATTAACCTGAACTAAAGCAAACAGGGGGGCGTGTAATGGACTATTTCTTGACCAGGCCCATTGATTTCCAAGCAACAAGAAGAGACTCATTGGAGTCACTTGACCTAGACAAGAAATGGAAGCATCCCCAGACTTCAATATTCCCCCCACAATGTTTCACTGTCAGTTTGATACACTTCTGTATCATACCCTCTCCTGCTGGTCTGCCATACATCTCAAACTTGGATTCATCAGTAAATAGGATCCAAATTTGAAATGCTGGTATTTCTTAGGCTCTACTGTTTGGCCTTGTTTCCCCTCCTGAAAAGTGGTTTAGAAACTGTTATGTGTCCTCTGAGACCACTACCAGACAGCCTTCTTTTGGCAGTACTTTTACTGATTGTGTTCTTTATTTTGTAAAAACTCTATCTGTGATGAAGTTGCCTTTTTGTCTCTTGGGGAACTAAGCTTGACGTATTAATCTTCTGATGAAGATTGTGATTTTGAGCCATCAACTTTCACTTAGTTGTGATGCCAATTTTCCCATTATCACAATGCTACTTAGTAAGCAATGATCTGCTGGAAACTTGAGGCACAGCCTTGTTTACATCAGGTCAACACTGGCTGCAAGTTGAGTTTCTTGAAGGAGCCTCTGAAGTGTTATCTGAACGCATACTTCAATGGAAGGAATACAACTCAAGAAAATGTGACCCTTTTTTTTTTTTTTTCTACAAAGGAGTTCAGTTGCTCAACGTCCCAGTTTTCCTAAACTTGAAATATAAATATTTCTTCTTCACATGAAACAAACTCTTATGTTCTTAAGTGTTTCTGAGTCCTCAAACTTTCTGATTATTTGAAATACATGAAAAGATTTTCAAAAAAGATTTCAATGTGGACTTTTGGACCCCATTGTATATATGTGCGTTTGTGCACACACTCATTATATACAATATGTATATTTAAAAAAACAGATTTAAAGTAGCAGCAGTTTTATTGTCAGTTGAATAAAGGGTTTGCAGCATGTCCAGTCACATTCAGTTAACATTAACAGGTACTGATTTAGAAACGTTTGAATATAAAAATGGAAAATGCTGCTATCAGTTGCATAATTCATTTTTCAAACATGCCATTGAAGCTAAGTTTGACAGAACCTAACATATGAGATAAATAATTCAAGAGAACAAGGCACTGCAGATTGTCCAGTAGTGGAGGAAGTATTCAAACCCTTACATAAAAGAGAATTGTAATTATTACAATTCAAAGTTCTACATTTGAAATATCACTTCAGTAAAATTACCAAGGTATCATCAGCATATTGTACTCACATATCAAAAAAATAAGTAATAGTAAATGGCCCCTTGTTAACTCTAATACTGCTATTGTATTATATACTTTTGACAGTAGCTGGTAGAGGTGTACCTCGGTTTAAGTACTTTAGTTTGTACCATTGCAGAAACCATAGAGTTGTCAACTGTAGTAAAAGGAAAAATATTTCCTCCCTTAGAAGGGTAATAAAGTAGTACTTGAACTTGAAATTGTACTTAAGTACAGCATGAGTAACTGTGATTATTTAGACTAAATGTAGGCTATATCATTTCATTTACCGCTAAAACAGTCTAAGCACATAACATGCTGATGATTTCAACCTCCTTTGCTACAGAATATGTCTCTAAACTTTCTAACTGAAAACCTGCTTTCGTGGCCGGGCAGAACCAGATTAGATTGGAAGGAGCATCTCTCTCTCAGGATCCCTGCAGAGAAGCCACGTACTTCTGACGAATGTCAAAGTCATCAGCTGGACGGTTGTAAGCCTTCCACACAGGTTCCCCCACAAACAGCCTCATGGCTTTAGTGTAGTTCTGAAGAAACAAAGTGTTAAGATCAGTCTGAATGTGGCCAGATAAAGGACCGTCAACTCTTGTCTTCATTTTAAAATCAAATTAACCATTTAGTGCTACCCTGTAATAAAAGTGGCTCATTAGCTTCTCTCACAGACACCAACAGACCTTTTCAATGCAGACATTTTGAGTTGTCATAGCAGGAAAAGCAAAGTTTAATTCATAACATCCATTCCATGAAGGCGAGCTGGTTCCAGAGCTCTGGCTCATGGTGGCTCACTGATGTGGCTTACTGGGATGGAGCTGAGTCATTGTTGTTTTTTTTTGTGATATTCGTTTATCCTGAGCTCTTATTAGTCAAAATGTCTGTTGTGAACCAGGTCTTTTCATTTAGTTAGCCAGAAGCTAATGGGTGTTTTAGCTGCTTTAAAGAAGTTTGAGTGAGAAAAGCTTCCAAACTTAGAAATTCAGGCACTTTAACACTGACTGTCTGGAGAAGAACAACCACAGATTTAAGTTTAACATGTCAAAGTTCAAAAACAAACAACAGTGGCAACAATATTGACTATGCTAACAGTAGTAACATATCCCCCAGCTGCAACACTTTGAGGAAACAGTAATGTTGTAACTGTAATGCACAATGTATGTACTCTGTGGATTCCTTGTAAATAACAGTTGAATTTCCTGTGTTTGGTAGAACAAATACTATTTAACAATCCTCATCTGCTCATTCTTTGGTCAGGTTGCGCTCTCAATATTTGCACTGGTGTTTCAAATGTTATTGTTTTCTTTAACAACGGACCAATTTCTCCTCAGGCATCATTTAAATTTCATCTTATCTGATCCAGTGGATTGAGACACATTGTTAAAACTGTCAGTGTTGAACAGCTATGCATCTAAAGATAACCAAAAAAGTAGTTAAGTACTAAGTTAAGTACTTCCATGTTTCTGTGACAATTACATTAATTTACACTCCTGAAACATTCATCAACTGTGGCATCATTAATGCTCTTTAAGAGAATGACTTGCGTCCTCTGGGGGCAGTAACAATGGGAGAATATCATCTAGTTGTGTATTATTTAGCAGATGCTCTCGGACGTACCGTCTCATCCAGGGTGAAGCGGTGGTAGATGCCTGCTGGTAGGGTGATCAAGTCTCCTTTTCTCATGGAAATCCTGATCCACCTGTCCTCCTTGTCCCTGACGTCGAAGTAGGCCTGGCCGTCCAGGATGTAGCGGATCTCATCATCCACGTGCAGGTGCTCTTCAAAGAACATCTTCAGCTGAGACAGTCAGACAAAAGAAGAAACACAGGCCTGAATAATGGTGGTTTCTTCATTGAATTATGAAACTTTTACACCCAGGTCAAGTGGCAGCTGTCCAAAAGAGCGTCATATAAAACTCACACTCCGATGTATACTTAAGCAATACGAACACGAGAGGGAGTGAGCTGTCACACGGAGCCACATGTGGCTATAAGCTAACGTTAACTGTTATAACAGTTGGCTAACGTTAGACTTATCTGATTTTCTTTCTCATCCATATAGATAGGTGCTGCTGAGACTGGAGCTGCAGGAGCTGCAAACCTGAGGCCCACAGCTGGCTCAGGACATGTTGAGAATTTATTTGTGAAAACAGAAGAAAATCAAGGTGTGTGTGTGTGTGTGTGTGTGCTACATTTGTTTTTACTCTACATTATTATGTAACAATTTTTTGTTTGTCAGGGGGGAAAAATGGTTCTAATTAGGGAATGCGAAACACATTCAAAGGAAGATGAGGATTCTCACATGGTAGGCTATAGGTCACTCTGCAGCACTGTGAACTGAATAAAGAACACGATATTAAAGGCCAGTGTCCAAGGAAGGCAGAGATAGCGCCTTGCTGGGGTGGCCAGCCTCAGGAAGCACATCTGATTACCTTATATATTTAACTGTTTAACTGATAGTAATTATCGTGAGAATTCTTATTGTTGTTTAAACAATTAATTATTAACATCCATAGTTCTAAATGAATGATTACATCTTTACTTTCTTCTCTCTCACCTACTGGCAAGAGGATGCTCTTGGCCATGGTGATTTCGCCTCCATCCCCAGTGTAAGTTTTCAAATAATGTATATTCACTGTTTTTTTGTTTTTTTTTAAACAAATCCTAAAGTTTCCTCTTTATTAATTAAATTTACAGGTAGTTGAAAACAGTCATAGTGTACAGATGCACATCTCAAGAATGAAAGAGAGGTGCAGAAAGGCCCATCCAAACATGAACATCCTGAAGGAGAAAATGAAGGAGCACAGAGCCCCCTTCATTGAAATAGATATGCTCAGAGTGTGCAACCCATCAAAGAAGAACCAGACCCCGGCTCATCCAAAGATGACAAAGACAGTAACTGAATCATTGTTATTTTACTGCACAGTTCTTTTTTTCTTGTCTTTTAATTCTATTCTTAAATTGCTTTCACGATTGACTTAAAAAGGTCTTAAAGACTCTTCAATTTAAGCAGTTGAAACCTCTACAACACCAATATAGAAAGTTAAAATGAGCGCAGTGCAAAGACTTGATATTGACTGTTTCCCTGGTAAAAATGTAGTAAATAGTTTGCTGTTACTTTATGTTTTATTCTTGCAGCTTACATCATGTGCGGTGGTTCAGTCGGCGGACATCTGTTGAGAAAACTAAGGTCATCACATGACTCAGGGTGAGGTGATCACAGGGCGAGGAGCCCTGGAGAGAGATCATCAGTTTCACCTGTACCTCAAGTTCTATGAGTAAGTTATATAATAAGTCTATCACACTACAGTGACTCATTACGGCCTCCTGAGGAACAAAGTGGTATTACAAGATGAGACGGACTGTTCAGGACATCTAGCACCAGTTACAAAATGTAACTTTTAAAGCTACCTGCAGTCACTTATTTCTGAAGAGATCACCATCATCAAAATTGTTATAATCAAAATCTTATAGCCCCATTACCATTCTGTTCAAAGGAATGCATTTTATTAAGCGTTGCTGTATGTTGGGTAAACTTTTAATAAAGGGCTGATTTGTTGAAGCGTTTGTAAATGTTTTATCTTTAATTCATATATATCTATTAGGTGAACCTGAATGAAACTAATGCAGTATAATGGAACAGGGCTGCAGTAAATCCTCCTTCATGAGGATTATAATGTTAGGTATTTACTGAATCTGTTTGAGAAGTGTTGGTTCATTTTAATGGTCATTGTGGAGGCTGTAATCATAATTGTTGTAAATCTAATTCATATAAATGGGATGGACAAAATAGTAGGAACACCTCTCAGTATAGGGTTAGTTTATATACAGTGATGTCCAGAATTCCACTTTCCCCTGTAGCCTGCTCCATAGCAGCTCTAGTATCGCTCAATTTCATTTACAAAAGGAGAGTAAAATGAGCCATTAAAACACTGACTCGAGCTCAGCAGGATATCTCCTTTAAGTCTCAAGTTGTCGTGTCTCACCTATTTCTCCTAGCGAAGTTTAGGAGAAAAATATGAGAAACAACATATCAGACAAAATACAGACTAAAGTGAGACTGAAATAAGAATCTCAATTTTGTCTCCTGAGCTGTAGAAGAGCAAGCTTTGAGCATTAACATTTTCCTCTGGAGTGATACATGTAGTTAAAAGTCCCAGTGCTGTTGTACTCTGTATCAGCACTCAGGGAATGACTCTTCTCCAATCAAATGATTTGGTCAGAACTAACTGTTGTATACTAATTCTGTGCAGGTTATAAACTCTTCTAATGCAGTGAAGACATTTCTCCAGTGACTCAAATTACTTTCTACTGTTGCTCCAACAAGGTGGCAGCATCTTTACCTTTTCCTCATAGTTGGGTAGTTTGTCCTTGTGAATAGTGATGATGTCCATGTAGGAGTAGCCTTGGTCTTTGCGGATCTGCTCCAGCTCCGGGTCTGTTTCATAGATATCAGCATTCAGCTGCAAAAAAAAGGGGCAACAGCTCTCCTCAGAAAAGAAACTCATCTGTGGAAAGTAACTGGAGCGAAAACACTTGTGTCGTTTAGATAAAGTGTTGCACATTAAACCAAAGTCACATGCAAGAATTAAGCATCTGTTTGCGCCATGTTATGCTAATGTGTAGATATTTCAATTTGGGTTATTTTCACAGGTTCCAACGCTTTTTTAAAATGACTGTTAGCACAACAATGTAACAAATACAACAAAATGTCAACGTATTTTCTTACAACGTAAGCTTGTAAATTTTTGAGGGTCACAGTGGTTATGTAACCCGGATTAAAGTTTACAGAGGCTTTGTAAATGAATGAATTGCATATACTTAAAACATAAACGTTGACTTCAACTATGTATAAGACACATTTCTGTTCACCTTGGTTAATCTAGCAGCTAGCTATGGTGTAAAAACTTTAAAGACAGCAGCTGTGGCGGTTGTAACGTTACCTTCCAGTAAAATACCCCGAGCTTCTGTAATTCATCCAGGGACACAGGCTGGTTTGGGTTCAGTCTGTGCGGCTTTCTCTGGTCTTCATCAGAGCTGTCCATGAACCAGGCTTCTACACCCATACTGGAGCTGACCGCCGCACGTTTCAATAGCTGTAACCCAGAAGACATGCTGTTACAATGTTTGGAGTGATGCAGTTGCATGTCACATGACTATAGCCACATTTCCTGTATACGATAGGGAGGGACGCTGTTTGCTCCTATCCTGATCATATCCCTGCAAAAATAGGCGGGGCTAGTGTGCAAACCACACTACATGTTATGACTACTGTTTATTATATCGTCATTCGAAATGTGCTTTGAAAATGAGGGGAGAGATATTAAACAGTAAGCTATCCAATTTGGTGAATTTATTTTGAAGGTTGCCACCGGAAGTAATCGCTTTATGTACAGTCAATGGTTTTAAACCTGCTTGGAGTTGGTTGCAGTGAGATATTATTGAGTCATGAGTGACCTCCAGTGGTCACAGTCAGGAACTACTACTCCACAGCCTCTGGTGGAAATAATAAACGTTTGTATACTTGATTTATTAATATGATCAATATTACAGCTATCAGCACTTGCATTAATATGTGTCACCGGAAGTATGTGCTACGTTATAGATGCTGTGCATTTCTGTGTAGTCAGTGTTCATGATTGTGCAAATTGTAAGACTAATGCAGACAGTGAACGTATTCATATAGACCTAGGTAACTATCAACGTTGGGGTAAATAAAGTATTGGAAATTATTTTAAATTAATCATTTTAATTGTCTTATTTTGAATGTTGTCAACGGAAATCTTTGCATGGAATTCTATCAATTTTCCCCCTGGTTACGTTGACCAATAATACATGCCGTGGGCAACTCACACTATGTTAGTGGTAGAAAGAAGAAGACTGGAAAACAGGAGACTCTCGACGAGGATGGGATTCGAACCCACGCGTGCAGAGCACAATGGATTAGCAGTCCATCGCCTTAACCACTCGGCCACCTCGTCCGGATGTGGAGCTAGGCTCTACAGTGCCATCTTGTGTCAAAATACATGACATTTCGTTCGTCCTAAAATCTGCATCTGTTCACAGCCAGTATTGACAACATAGATTTGTAGCACTTAAACCACCAGAGGGCACCGCACTTCAAGAGACCTCACTCCGCCTAGTCACACTTGGAGGGTGTTTCATCAAGCAGGATTAGAGAGGCTGTCTGGTAGCTGAAAACAAATAATCTATCTTGATGTGACTCATTTCAAATCAAGCAGACAAAGCTTAATACTAGGTGCAGGATTGTGTTTTAGTCTGAAAATGGTTTCTGTTTGAAATAACCTAAAGAGGCTGACAGTTCTTTATTTCAAGGTGAACCCAACACCTCGGCCTCGAGAGGAAGGGAAGACGTCATGTGGATGTGTCATATCAGCTGGCACTACTTGCTGGTTTACGGAGTAAACAGAACTGTGCGTGAAAACTGAATGCAAACCACAGCATGACTCACAGAGCTGAGATTGATTTGACTCTTTGTCATAAAGCACATAATGAATGATGTGAGTTATTGTTCCTATGATCATTTATACCCGATTATAATATACAAAATACGAACAGAGAAGCAAGACATTTAATTCAATTGTCTTTTTACTGCTTTATTGGAGCAACTCATAATTCACCACTTCAGATCCCAGTTAATCGGAACAATTTATGAAAAGACAGACAGAGTTAATGAGTCTACCAGTAGAAAAATCTTAAGTTACTCATGAGATTTCCACTGATGAAGACGTCGAGGAAGTCCACACATACCTTGTGATCCATTTCATCTAAGTCAAGTCAAGGATAGACCATCGGGTTATGATGCACTGACAGATTCCTGTAGGCTCAGCACTTAAAACTTCAAATTAAATAAATGACCCAGAATATGTTGAAACACTGTCTCCAATTCAGTTCAGAAACTTCACTGCTTATGATATGTATGGTGGTTTCCATAAATGATAATGAACCAGGCTTCTACACTCATACTGGAGCTGAACGCTGCACGTTTTAACAGCTGTAATCCAGAAGACACGCTGTTACAATGTTTGGAATAGACACGAGTGTTGCAGTTGCATGTCACAGGACTATAACCACACTTCCTGTTTACTATAGTGATGCTGTTTACTCTTATCCTGTTCATATCCCTGTAAAAATGGGCGGGTCTGGTGTGCAAACCAGACTACACGTTATGACTACTGGTTATTATATCGTTCATTGAAAATGAGGGGAGAGATATTAAACAGTAAGCTATCCAATTTTGTGAATTTATTTTGAAGGTTGCCACCGGAAGAAATGGTGGGTTCCATAAATTTAACTAACTTTTATGACATTAAACAAAAACAAAAACTCAAAATCGGCCACAAAGACAGGACAGAACAAATTCTTATAGAAAGACGAACCCAACAGGGTCCACGGGCTGATACTTTTAACTGGGGTTTCACAAAGATATTCTAGGCCGTTGTTTTGGACCAGTCTTCATTTAGCTCACAGATTAGGCTAACACAAGTAAAATCGTTTCACAATAACGCCTGACTCACTGTAGGCCAATGATATAATATTAGACACCTAACCCCCAAGAGAATCAAACAAGAGACTTAGGGTAAACACGGCACATAACTTATGGTTTGCTGGCAACGCGAGGAGAGAGAAACTATAGAGCGCACATTTGGTCTTTTCATTTTGACGCAGCAAACAAACATTTCTTACAATTTATATCTACACTGGCGTCCAGTAGCTGTCAGGGGCCCATCATACTTATGGTTTTGAGTCATAGTCTTCTAATATTTTTTATTTCCCTTCATAGAAATGTTCAAAAATTGCATATTTTAGTAAAAGTAAATACTATTTCTACCCACTACTTATTCAATTAGGTAATTTCCTCTAAAAGGTTACGAAGTAAGGCTTGCTGGGAAATCTTAATTTGACCAATGAGCGTCCTCCCTGTCATTCAATAACTTGCGTGAGAGGACGTCAATTTTTTTCTCAACGTTTTGGCAAGGAGTGTTCTTCAACTAATGGACGGTAAAGCTAGCCGCCTGATGTTTTGCAAGTCCAAACAAAAACGCAGCCATCAGAGGAGGAAGGACAGAAGAGGACAGGATGAGTTTACTGCTAAACTGACGAAATTAGTTTTTTTTACTTACCGTGCTTCAAGTTCACTGAATGCTAGCAATGTTGACATGCTAACGACGAGGCTAACTTTATCTTGATTGGCTAGACTCTCAATAAGGAACAGCAGAACCAGGGATTTGGATTTGGGTAGTGTTGTTAATGACTTTGGATGACCTGGCGGATGAACTTCTGATGGGTGAGTACAGGTTTCTCTGTTTATGAAAAGGTATCAGGGGTTCAAATCTACCTTTCCATCTACCTCCCTGTTGGAAAATACACAGCCACTGTAATCTGTGCGTGTGTGATAACCTTTGGCTGCTGTTTAATTAATGATGAATTCTATATTGATTGTAATTGTGTGATCAAGGGCTGTCATCCATTCATTCATACTGTGCAGACCTATAATGAGTTGTTGCGCTTTTTTTATGGCTATTTGTTTTATGCTTACTGACACATTAACTAACTTTGTGCTGATTTGTTAGCATTTGGTGCTATTTCGGATTTGTAATAGTTGCTGTGGTGGTTTGAGTTCAGGGCAGGCTGTTGCAGTAGAGTTGATAAATTAGACACCAAGGCTGCAATCCGATTTGTGCTGATCAAAGGCTGGTTTGCAGGATGGGAGTTGCATGGTGAGCATCTCCATGGTGACATAGCCATTGGCTGCAGCTAGCAGATGGGACATGAGCAAAAAATAAAATGTCCATGTCAAATAAACCTGTCCCAAAGGTGATGTGTGATCTGACTCACTGGACAAAAAGCCAATGGGATTTTACATGGGCTTTTGGATTACTGCAGCAAATAAACTCTGTGACAAACAAAGGTTTATGGTATTTACATGTATTGTTCAGCAGGCTAATCTTCACTAATGAACACCACTTTTATGATTTTTGAAGCCTAAATATAATAGCCACAAATAAAAAGGTAATTTTTGGCTATTAACTAACTAAACCACCATTGCATGACTTCAACGTAGCCACTATTAAACTTCCAACTTGTAGTTTCATTGAGCTCTTACCTCTTCTATAAAAACCTTTCCTCTTACAAAGTTAGCAACAGTTTGTTTAAACACAACAAGGCTGTAAAGGTGGACTGGCGAGTAGATTGGTTTTTATGTTTGGCGTGTTGATGTTTAAAATCCCAGGCAATCTCTGTAGTCTCATTTAGACACTTTTTAGCAACCACCCTTTTTTAAAAGACATAAAAGCTTAAAGGAATCAGGACTGAGGAATCAATTGATGTATTTTATGTCATAGAATAAAATGTGAAAATGTGTTGAACTTGTGTTAACCACAGACCTTAGTTCAGCCATCTAACCAAACACCCATTCAAAGAATCCATAGACTTTGGGACGAGGAAACCACAGGTCCATCTGTGTTTTTACCAACTACATTAAGCCCCTTCTCCACTTGTTAAAAAAACTGCTAACACCCGCTAACATCTGGCTTTTTTCTGCAATGGAAAAGGGTTAAATAGGCATTCACAGTTTAGTGAAGATTTATTCTTTAGAAAATAGTAATAACAGAACGTAGAGAGTTCTAGAAGAAATCAAGTTAAAATGAATATTTACAGTAGCTATCTTTTGGACTTGGAGCTTGTCTGTTACAAACAACATTGTGTTAATGCTACTTTTTAAATCTTTTAAAATGGAATTTTTGGTGAAAAAATAAAGCAAGTGTTGCACCTCAATGGTGGGTACCTGATTCTGCATTTGGACCCATCTTGAGCCACCTGGAAAGAAACACAATAAGACAGGAGTAAACATAAAAAGAAGGCAGGCTTCAAAGATCGAAGCAAGAGGAGGAGTCAGTTAGACAAGAGGCATCACCCCAAACACAAACAGTTCTGTTCCAAGACACACACAGAAGTGAACACTTGGTTCTTATTGTGAGATAACGAGATTTGGTTAGGGTGGGATTGTGGGCATAGTGTCTTGGCTTAGAGTGTGCGTAGCTCAGGGTGCACAACATGTGTGTAGCAGTACTTGGGTGACAAATCTTCCCATCCTAACGTTGAAGGACGAGATTTACCAAAGAATCTTCTTC